TAGTTTATAAACTATGACATTTATAAATGTAGGAATCATATGGTGAAAAACTGAGTTTGAAAAATAAATCTTTTTTTTTCTTATAAGAGGCTAAATAAAACAAAAATATTGGTGGTATTTTTTGACTGTGTAACTTTACAAACGGCACCCCATAAGGAACTGATCCAAGGTCAGCTCCAGGGTCAACACAGTGACAGGAGAGACATCATCAGACAGTTACTGATCAAAGTTAAGCATGCAGGCCGTGAACCCTCCAATCACAGCTTAGCCCCTGCAGCTCAGTGTGACAGAACTGCATGAAACGTGTGACAGCTTGTAGAGTCTGACAGTCAGAGATATTTAAGCCCTGCACAACCCGACCTGAAGTCAAACAAACCCACACAGATGTGTTGTGTAACAGTCTGCTGCGCAGCGACACACGGGAAGCAGGAAGGAGAAGCAAAGAGAAAGAGAAGAAGAAGCTGCAGGTCTGCAGACAGGCAGTGGGACGAGGAGRCCAGCAGATATGGGGTGAGACGGTTCGCCTGCAGTCTTCTGAGTGCACGTTGACCTCACAGGGACGTGCAGTACGTCACGTGAGGCAGGGTTTTGTTTGTAGACAAACATCAGCTGTAAATGTCAGCCTCACCTTGTCACAGGTGCAGTGCTTCCTGCCGGACAATTTCTCAAACATTTTCACTGTAGTTTTGCAGCCGTGTGTAAAAAAACGAGAGACAGGATGAACAAATATGTGTGATGTCGTCCGCCTCACTAACCAGCTGCTTTTGTTTTGTTTCTCAGTGAGTCTGCACTGTAAGATCCTGTGTGAAGATGAGTGGTGGGAAAAAGAAGAGTGGCTTTCAGATCACCAGCGTCACCTCAGATTCTTCCCAGCCCGCCTCTCCAGTCAGCCAGTCGTCACACAGCGTGGTCCGGATCGTCCAATCGGATCCCTTCTCCATCAGACACATTCAGGGAAGCTCCTCCCAGCCGAACACTCCCTCCCTGAGGAGAAAAAACATTTCCCACGATGCCCCAGGGCAGGGAGCGGGCTGCGCTTCTAGGTTCAGGGTTGTGAGGCTGACAGGGGGAGGATCTGGCCAAGGTGGGCGGAGCAAGTCATATAAGCGTGGAAGATGGACATGCATGGAGTTTATGGAGAGACCGGAACTGGCGGGGTTCAGGCGKGTGATGGACAGCATGAGACACGCCCATTCGCTGGAGTCTTTGGAGATGATTGGTCGGGACAGCGAAAGGGGCGGAGTCCACTCTCAGGACACCACCCACATTTTGGCTCAGCCGGTCAATGGTACTGACGGGATGGGGCTCGTTCTGAGGAGTGGGCCTCCATCCCCAACACACCAAGAACCAGACGGCATCCAGCTTCTTGACAGGGGAGGACCAATCAGAGCGCAGGGTTTAGACTCCACCCCCAGTCCTGCTTCACCTCGCCCACAAAATTTCCCCCGACCGTTACAGCTGGAAGTGGACGCCACAGGACGGGTACACACACACACACATGCACATAAGCACAAACACAACAACAAAGTATTGGTAACCATTATTCACTAAGAAAACAACTGAGTCAAATTTAAGTCTAACTGCAAACTGCAGTGTTATATATATATATA